CCTGGAGCGGAGGCAGGCATATCAAATTATTTAAGAGGGGACAAGACAAGTTTATAGGATCAACTATCATTCCCTTTGGGATTTAAGGGGGGGGGAAGAGGGTGCTGGAGGAAATATTAAACGATGCTCCTTTGATACTAGCTCTAAGCCTTTATTATTTCAAATTAGGTTTTTGGCCATCAAGATTTCTTCACACCAGTGTCGTCTATAGAAATGTTTTCTATGTGATACACCTGCAGAACAACATTACATCCTAAAACATTTGCTTCAAGTCTCAAAAATATTTACTCGCTTCTCTCCAAAGTAACCCCTAAAATCTTCCATAATTGTTTTTGGTACTCGTTTCTATACCCAAACTAGTAAAATATCTCCCTCCCTTTCACAAATGTCTAGTCTGAGAAAAAAAATCTCCGTTTAGCTTATGATAGAAAATGAACTCCCCACCCCCTCCCCCCTTCCTCAGGGGGTTTACGTTTTCTTCCAACTTTTTAATGTACAACTACATTGTTCTTCTATTTCAGCTGGTTCTTGCACTTATTCCGACGCAAGTAAAGCTTTCATCTTCTCTCTCTATAACGTCAAAGGATACAATCCCGTAAAGTTGACACAATACCAAAATCAGCAATATGCAATGTACAGATGTAAAACGTATGGACCTACCTTTGGGAATGGTCATGATATACACATATCCGACGGCTCTGAGAACAACCAAAACTCCTACACCAGATGCGGTTACACGTACACGACACCTTCAGGGTACTCTTATGGTGACTGTGGTTTTTTTACAGGGGGGTTTCATTTCTCTCCAACGGACGTCGAAGTATTCTATGAAGCAGGTAATCAAGAAAAACACCCCTTTCCAAGGATAAATACATTGTAGGGCCTGTAGCAAAATCAAATCGTGTATTGTAGAAATACTCTCAGAAAGTTGTGTTGCTAGAGTACGGATAGCTTACTTTTTTGTCATTTTAAGGGTATGTGTAGGCTTCTAAAGTCTCTTTTGTAGCATTCATTCAAGTTCGTCACGCAACGCGTTTCGTGACGAGCCTGAGAGGACTTGCCTGAGTTGCCGCCGTGGGTACCGTGGGCATTACTGTAAACGAGATTGGTGGGGCCACTTGAAAGAACGCCTGAGTTAACAAAAAAATTTCAGACTTTCTTTGATGCTACTCTGGCTTAAAGCTTTTAATGATTGTAACTGAGACGTTACAATTCATAGACCCAACATTTCGACACTCCTGTCTAGTGCATTCATCAGGGGTAATGATGAAGACGCTAGACAGGAGTGTTGAAACGTTGGGTCTATGAATTGTAACTTCTCGGTTGCATTCATTAAATCTTTAAACCATAGTAGCATCAAACCATGTCTGATTGTCTGCCTGGTTGTTTTGAACTTAAAAAAAAATTTCATTCTCTCTGCCGCCTAAAATACCGCCTGGTAGACGGGCTGGGAATTTTCTAACTTACCGGATCAGTAATGTTAGATTATCTAGCGGGCCAAACGAGGGGTGATGAAATTATCACTTTAGATTCAAAGGAGTCACTACCAATAAAAGCTCTTGTTACATTTATTTGGCCAACTGTAATTTTTCCTTTCTTTTCCCACCTCAGGCCTTGGTTTGTCCGCCATACTTCGAAGTCTTGATTACAACCAGTACTTGAAGGTGCTGTTTTCGTATTTGGACCCAGTCCTTATCAATAAAGAGCGTAGCAGGTTTGTGAGGTGTTGGCACGCAGAGACTGACGGTTGGGCAGCATCGACATTCCACAGTAACTGCGATGGAAGGGGACCCACAGTGACTATCATCAAAGTTAACAGTTTTATCTTTGGTGGATACACTGACGTGTCCTGGACCAGCAGTGAGTAAAAAACAAGCAAACATCTCTCGCATGTAGAACAGATAACAAATCGATTAGTTGCAGACTTTTCTAGTAGCAATGAGTTCATCTTAGAAACAGAAAATATCACATTAACAACTGAGATACCAAAGTAGATTAACTTGTAAATAGCCTGAAGACGCGTTTGAAACGGGTTTTAACTTAAATTCTTGATTCGGATTTGATTTTTGATTTGATTTTGATTTTGATTTGATTGGATTCTGACAGCTCCATTTCGTGCCATTTCCCCGTTTTTCGTTGTATCCATCAGTCATATTGAAGAGCTGAAACAAAGGATGTTTAATTAATGCTCTCTTTAGATCATATGTTGCCTTTGAATAACACTTCGGATCATATTTCAAGTGCTTTTTTTTGAAAAGTGAAAATATGCTCTCGAGTTCTTTGAAATTTTTTTCTAACAAATTAAAGTGTTCGGTTCTGGTTCGGCAAGGAAAAAAGTATCTTTTTTTAAGGTTATCATCATGAACTTTTTTCTCATTCGCATAGTTTCTAATGCTCCTAAATCTTTTTATTTTAGGTTGTGCTTATTCTTCAGCCAGCAAAGCTTTTGTTTTCTCTCTTTACAACATCAAAGGATACAATCCTGTGAAGCTGACACAATACCAAAACCAGCAGTACGCAATGTACAGCTGTTCCTCTTACGGACCCACGTTTGGTTCAGGACATGATATCTACATATCAGAGGACGCAAAAAACAATCAAAACTCCTATACTGAATGCGGCAAATCGTACTCTAACCCCACGGGTTATTCGGGTACATACTGTGGGTTTTTCACCGGAAGTCATTCTTTTTCTCCATCTGACATTGAAGTTTTCTTCGAAATAACAAACTAAACACTAAAAACTATGCTGTCTAAGTAAGTATTAAGTAAGTATTGTAACAATAGAGTTAATAGAGTTAGTGCCTCTTCACACAAGGGCCGGTCAACAGCACTTCCTCTGGATTCTCTCAGTGCTTAGTCGCTTATTTCGTATTAAAAGAAAGCGCTATGATTGGTGGAAAATCCATAGTTTATTGTGCCGATAAACACATAATTTTAGTTACAAAAGCAACAGACTGCATTTTCTATTCGTTTACTAGCGTAATAAAATACGCAGTATGTTGGTAGAACACTCAAAACGTTCGTAGATTACGAGCAGTGAAAAAGCAATTTACAAGCTTTTCTCTTGTTCTTCCAACATCCTGTGTGGTTTGTTAAGCCACTGAACTGATATGAAGAGAATTTTATAGTAAAAACACAGCACATTTTAGACTGGCAAGGTTTAGGGCGCCTCCATTAAGTAAACTCTGCAATTGGAACATCATGCTGTAAGTGAGAAAATATTAGGCTGTAAAGCATTCGAAATAACAGATCTTAGAAAACACCCAAGTTGTGAGCCCTTTCCTTATTGTGTATGAGGAATTTGTAGCGCGCACCGCCGTCGTGGGTTTTATTTGCGTGGCACATACATTTTATCTTCGTCTCACGTGTATTTTAGTTGCGTAGCACGTGCATTTCATTGGCATCGCACGTGCGTTTTCAGTTGCATCGCACGTGTGACCAGGCTCTACTTAGTAATACCTCTCTCCACTCAGGAGTAGAAATGGCTACCTGTAAAATGTGGGAGTCAAAGACGAAAGGTTTAGGGTTTACATACATCTGCCATACATTAACATCCGGTCAGCGGTCAAGAGAGAGGAAGTAGTACCCCTGGTGCAGTCATGTTATTTACACCAGGACATTTTGCTACAAGATTGAACTTAACCGTTAAGGTTAATAATCATATCTACTCTTTTCAACACTGAACTTACGGTAAGTTCAGTGTTGAAAAGAGTAGGTATGATAATGTTACCAGTTAAGTAATTAAGTTAGATTAATATTATGTGTGCATCATTTTAAACATTAATCAATAATTTTTTTAGTGTTGTTATTGTTATATATTGTTGTAACTTGGGTGTTGCGCCGCGATATGGCGAAAGTTTTGCTTCACAGAATTTAAATGCTCGCTGTCAGTGATACGTTTTTACAAGAATTATTGAAAGAAGAAATTGCCTCTTTCCATTGAAGACTACCACACAGACATCAGTGCAATATGACGGGTAATCACAGCCAATATTCTCTTACAAATTCTGTCATAAAGAACCAACAATTCCTTTCCTTCCAATCAGAGCTGAAATTGAGCCGGCAGAAGAGAATTTAAGAATTAAGAACAGAAATTAGCGAGTCAAAATCCAAATTGACGAACGCAAACGAGTTTAGTTGACGCTGGGAATCACTGATCAGATCCGCAATTGAACATTTTTAAATTATGAGAACACTCGTCTGTAATCACCAGATCGCAAAATTTTATTCCTTAATCTTTGGGGAACAACGAACCTTTTATTTTTTTAACTGATGTATCCTAAACCCTTTCGATGGGCAAAAAATGAAAGAAAAACATTTTTCGACGGGGAATTGGAAGTCGAGAGGACCGCTTTTAGTGAAAGCGGCACATCAGTAACTTCCACGGGTCTTACTCGGTTACCCGTGATCGTGCCACGTCCCCAGGCCGGATCAGAATAGCAGTTGAACAACGGAATGATCAGTGGTGTTAATTTCTGTCTTTTTACTTAAATTTCTGCCTCATGTCTCAGTTTCTGTTCTCATGATTTAAATGTTGTTCTCTTGGTCCAATTTGGCTCTGATCAGTGACTAAATTTCTTTGCGTTGTGTTCTTAATTCTTAAATTATCTTTTACAGGTTTTGTTTCATTTTTTACCCTTAAAAGGGTTTAGGATACATCAGTTTTAAAAAGAAGGTTTGTTGTTCCCCAAAGATTAATGAATAAATTTTGATATTCTGGTGATTACAGACGTACTGAATTATCCAAAAAAGGGTAGTCTGGCCAAAAATCCGTTTTAGCCTAATTGTGGCGGCACAAAAAAGAGAAGTGTTCTCATCATTTAAAAGTTCTTCTCTTGGTTCAATTGCGGATTTGATCAATGACTTTCAGCGTCAACTAAATTATTTTACGTTGTGTTCTTAATTTTTTAAATTCTCTTCTGCCGGTTTAGTTTCAGTTCTGATGAGGAGAAATGGAAATTGTTGATTCTTTACAACAGAATTTGACAGAAAATATTGGCGGTGATCACCCCTCATAGCACAAAGTCGTGGTTGTATTTCATTTTCCTTCTTTCTCAATTCATACTATGCTTTACCATAACAAAAATAAAAAGTAAATAACAAGAATATAATTATACAACACCAATATCAAGAACATGTCGCCCAAGGTTAAGCTTCTTTTTTAATCTTATTTAATCATTAGGCTCGAGTCTTAGTCTTGTAGATTTTAACCAGTTAGAGGTGTACCTGAAATCTTTAAACGTTTTTATCGTAATTTCAGGGAATATTAAAAAAAACAGTATGTAGTTTTAAGGGGGGTTAGAGGTGGATAGAGACATGAAAAGTCGGTTCCAGTGTAAAGACGAGCAAAAGGGCGAGCAAACCGCAAACGGCGGTGGTGGTTCTTAGGAAAACGGCTGACTTCCGTTTTTTAGCAGGCGATTACAGACTTGCTGAGAGCCTGCTACAGACTGAGAGATAAGGAGATTTGAGATTTGCGTTTAGCCTTACCTAGCCCCGATATTTAACATATTTAAACTTACCATTAAACTTACCATTTTCAGTTTGTGTAGAAACACTTTGTCGGACAGTTGATTCTTTTGACAGAAATGTGGTTATGTCATCCAGGAAGTAAGCCTTTTAACAAGGCTTCTGAACGACATTCCGACCTCATTTGTTCTTGATGTCTCAAGCTTGTGTTAACCCTAGGTCGATATCGTTTAGTTTTAGAAAGAAATGGTCAAATATAATTTGAAACTTATTTGAACATAAAGTTTATATCTGCTCATAACTGTGCCTGTCAGAAATCAACTGTAATCCTTTGAATGCAAATAAAACTAAGTTCACCACTCGTTTATTTTCAATGTATTTCATTTTACCGTATTAATATAACCTTCGGTCTCAGTTTTCAACGACTGATTGATGCACAATAGTATTAGAGCGATGAACCCAAAGTAGAATGTTCGCACGTGCACATCACGTGCCAGATCCAACGAGTGGTTCCACCTTAGCAAAATTCCCATTGCTGGGTTTATCCCGTGCTTCAGAGCACCTCCACATTTTCCCGCGCTTATTTACTGCTTTGTTCTTTCCCGCTCTTTTTTTCTAGTTTCACCCTTTCAATGTTTCCAAGCGCCAATCTACAGCCGTATACATTCCTATGTTCGCCATTTATCAGCCATTCCTTAGCAATCGTATTACTCTGCACTTGCGCTGCTGCCTGCAGTATCATGCATTCGAGTTGCCACTTTGGTTTACCATAGATATGAGCTCGTGTTTCCTGCGCTATAGCAGCCATAGCCTACTTTGGGGGCAGAGAGAAAAATAAAAAACCGCCTGCCTTTTTTGCCGGGTCTTCCTGTAGAGCGGTGCGCGCAAACGGAAGGTTTTCGAGTGGCCGCCCACTGACCTGCTCATCGAACCATAACGGACCGCTCCTTTCCGCATCCAATCAGAATGAGAACCAACTTATTTAACATGATATACAGTACCACATGAAAGGACCACTCGGTAGGTTTCATGCTTACGTAGCATGAATTACCACCACCAGGAGAAAAGGTTCAATAAACTAATGTAGAAAAGGTTGAATTCTCATCGAAAGAACCGCTCATGAATGTTCACATTCACGGATTTACCATCTTTAGATTGTGTAGCGGAGACAACTGATTATGAATAATAAAAACTAAGTTTTTTCGTTTGTCTCACGATGTAGTTACGTGTGATGTAGATCGCGACGTTTCGACTGCTAGTCTTCTTCAGGTAATGAGGTTGACTGGTCATGCGTGATCTTATAAGCATGATGCTCTGCTGTGATTAGTCGTTTTTCAACGGCTCTGATTGGTGCATTTCGATCCTAGCTGTTTTCACTCGGTGATTTGCTCCCTCGGCGGTCCGCTGTCGCACAGCTCTCCTGTTGTTGTGTTTTTTGATCGTGGGCATCCACGCTTCTGGAATTTCTATTCCACTATCCCTGTTGATGTTGTTAGGGTGAAGTCTCATACGAATTGCCTCTTTGACTCTGTGCGTGTTGTAATAAGGGTCACGAACGATAAACTTTACTTCGTTCCAGGGTGGCTTGTGTCCGGTGTTGTGAGCATGCTCTGAAACGGCGGAGGTCTCGGTACGGGCGAGACGGACAGAGTTAAGGAGCACGATCGAGACATTCGTGACTAGATCGTGAGACAAATGAAAAAACCTTAGCTTTTATTGTTTTCACCACGATGAATAACCACAACCTTTTTTACGAAATCGATTATGAACTGTTTATATTCTCTTGCTAGAGATCAATCCTGATCATTGACCTCAGTATTGAGAGCTCGCTACGTGAAGTTCACACAAATCTGCTGTCATTTTGCAAAGTATATTTTTAAATTTTTTTTTAGAAAACAAATTTGATTCTGTTTTGGGGCTTTTCTACGTCAGTGAAAAATGACATCATCAGTAAATGCGCCCGCAAGACTGAAATTGATATTGAATGAAGGGGTAAGTTTCTAAAGAAACTGTGGTGCTGCGTCGGTGGGAGAGTATAGCAGGTAATTTAGTGTTAAAAACTGAGTTGAAAACGTAAATTAGCCACCGTAAAGAGTAAAAAAGCTGACGTTTCGAGCGTTAGCCCTTCGTCATCGCTCTGACGAAGGGCTAACGCTCGAAACGTCAGCTTTTTTACTCTTTACGGTGGCTAATTTACGTTTTCAACCCAGTTGTTAACACTAAATTACCTAAAATTGATATTGGTCAGCACATAGGCATTCTTTGAGGACAAGGAAGTGATGGTGGGCGGGGACGAGGAATTGTTGTTCACAAAATGTACTCTCGACCGGAGGGGGTGGAAAGTCT